GAGAAAAGCAAGCGCTCTACGTAGAATTTTAGGCATGGCAGCCATCTTGGATTTCTATTGGTCAGCGTACGAAACGAATAAAATAAACGTACGTAGACACGAGCGCTCTATAAAATAAATTAGAAAAATCGCAGCTGATTTATTCAGTTTTTGAAGAGAAAAATATTCTGAATCGAACTGTCGATTCAGATTGTCGAGACCTGCGCGCGGGCTGGGGTCCTATATCCAATATGCGCGATGCTGATATAGAATATGAACATGACAGCTGCCCTTAGGGCGCTGAACCCGGTTTTTACCAATCATAAAAGTTATCAACCAACCTAGTAACCAACCTTCGAATATTTTAAAAAAGCTGTGTATTGGAAACTAAGGCACCAGCGTCATCAGTACCATTAGCAAATGACTATGATTATATGAATAATAACATAATCGTTTAAAGTTCCATTCGTATTCAGTCATTTCATTTTCGTTTTCGCGTTTCAGCTGCATTCACAGTAACAGTAGTGTCACCAGTTCTTTTTATGTCGAAAAGACATTCCACGTGTAATAAACCGGTGCTATATTCATTTCAAGTGATTAATAAAATCATATTTGAATGAAATTCACTTGCTTCGTTAGAAGCTAAATCTCTTACATGGGTAGCGTCTAGGGTAAATAGTATCTATTAGCACTCGATTGTTTTGTTTTGCCTAAGGAGAATTTTAACAGGGACCACCATGCTTTTGATGAATTTTTTGTTGAAGCCAGTCGTTCGTAGTATTTCTTTTTGGCATGAGTACATCCTTTTCCCAATCGATCAGCGTATCTCTGATAAGCACTCTTATCTCCATCAGACTTAGTGTGCAGATAGCGCTTATAGCACCTCTGTTTCATACTGCGAAGGTGACGAAGCTTGTCTGTGAACCAGAGCTGGTCACGTGAGGATACGGTAATCCATTTGCTTTTTAGATAAGAATTAGCAACTTCTAAGAATTTATTTTGAAACGCCTCAATTTTATCTGTACATGTTATCTCATGATCGATAATAGAGTGCCAGTTCGTTTTTGAAAGTGCTAGGCGAAAGCCATCCCAGTTGCTATGCTTATAGTCGTATATGTGACGTTTATAAGAAAAAGACATTTGTTTTATTTGAAGAAGTGAAAATTCGACCATGCAGTGATCGCAGGTGGTAGTTAAAGGAGATAAAACGTCCATGTTAGTAACTGAGCTGAGATTATTGGTAAATATCAGATCTAGACAGGAATTAGACTTAGGTGTGGTGAGTTTTGATACTAACTGGGAGAATCCCTTCTTTATGGAAAAATCAAATAACTGGTTGCCCTCGGGTGTTGACGATTTCGTTGGGCACCATTTAGCTGAGTGACCATTAAAATCACCAATTAATATAACAGAACCATCCTTTATACCTGTGTTCATTCTTATTTTTTGCAGAGTGTCGCTCAGATGTTCCACAAACAAAGGCATAGGCGCAAGATTCTGTGATCGGTAGTAGAGACAAGATTTCGATGACGGTAGATATAAGCTTAAGAAACAGGTTTCAAATCCAGCGTCTTCCAAATATCTTTTAATTTTAATATCCTTACGGATATTAAGCGAGAGTCCTCCCCCTTTGAAGGACCGATCGTTACGAATAAAAGTATATCCAGCTAAGTTAAGGGCGATATCAGGGTCAAAAGTACGAAGCCAAGTTTCAGTCATAGCTACTACAATAGGTTTTCTTACACACACATAAGAAAGCAACAGATTAATTTTAAGACATCGAGAGGGCATACCTTCAACTTGCCAGAATGCTATTACAATTGAGGAAGAGAACTCTCATATCATCAGCCTGATGTACAGTATTTTTACTATTAACCAACATCACGGAACAAAACGTCACATGGACAAGGTGACTTAACTATTCCAGTTCGACCCATTCTCTCTACTTTTACTCTCCTCAGTCAGAAAAAAAAGGAACGGAAATAAAACTGAGTCTAGTTAGCTTATTTTGTGTGATCATTGTTCTTAATCCCTTCCATCATCGATTAAACCTTTAGCGTGCTGAATTGAAAATAACTCCAGACGTTTTTTACCATCATTATACATAACTTTACCATTTGACGTATAAATACAGTTCTTTTCTACACATATCGAGCGTGCATATTCGAAAATTGATAAATTAGACTTTGTTAAATCTTCATTAATAAAAGTACCACGTTCTAGTTTTTTTTTATTCCGAAGTATCATTTGACGTGTACAATAACGCACGAAGCGCATAATAATAGCACGTGGACGTTGATCCAAGAAGTTGTTTACTTTACCAATACGACTGGCTGATACCAATATCTTTATTATTAATAATGATATCAATTTTGGAGCATGTATCAATTATTAACTGATTTGTATCTTCTCCAATACTTTCTGCAATACCATAAAACCGAAGACTTGTTCTTCTATTATAGGTGATAGATCCTCAAAACCAATTTGTAATTTATTTAGTTGAATTTCCAGTTCATCAACTCTTTTTCAAATGGAGCAATAGCTTTTTTAACGATTTGTGAAATACCTTTTAACATTACATCAAACTGAAGTACTTCTCGAACTAATCCTTCAATATTTATTTGAGAATCATTAAGTGCATCAGTACTTTTTGACGCATGACCTCTTGTAGAAATTTTAGCCGGCATGTTGAGGATAAAATAGCAAAATTTTACAACAAAATACTTAGCGTGGTGGCGAAGGAAAATTAGTATACTAAGAAGAACAGACAGATAACGTGTTAACTGTGATGAAAAATAAAGTAGAATAAAAGAGTAATTAAGGAAAGTAAAGTAGAGTTCTTCTCGTCTCTCTCGCTTCCTCGTAAGATCTTGTAAGAGGTTCGATGGTGATTCTGCTGAGAAAAAATACATCATTTGTGTTTCTCCTGATACCGCACAGGACATCACAAACCCAAAACTTCTGCGCTGTTTTAGAAGAAAGTACTTGGAGCTCTTTTTTTCTCGAGAGTTTTAGAAGAATTTTGCAAAATTTTCTTGGTGGGGATGGAGACAGTCTGTTTTATTAGAACTGTTAGACTACGGCCGAACGACCAAGAATCAACATTACGTTTGACTGCCATTTCAAAGTGAATACTCTGGGATATCCATCATTATCAATTACAGCCCGTTTAGTATGAAAATGATGAAACTGACAATTATATCGTGTTCTTAACCGAAGCAATTTGCTGTCTTTCGAAATCAAAGTTTCGACGCTTGCATTTAGCCGGTGGTTTCAATTCGCACTGTAGGTTACATATTTACAAAACCTGCATTCTACTGATTATTCATTATTGTTGTGTAGTATATGATAGTAGTTTCATAACACATTTAGAACTACTAACATCTGTTCATATACCTGCTGCCCGCATGATACTGAATGATTATTTTTCTAATAGTACTATTCTCATTCAGAAACTGAATTTACCGGACTTAGCTTCAAAAAGAAAACTTTTGAGACTAATCTTGTTTCACAAAATCATTATTGGACGAAGAGCTGTCGCGCTTTTCCTTAGTTAGTCCACTTACCACCAGAGCATATCAGCGAACTTCTAATCGATGTCTTTGGCAACTTTCATTATTTAAACGTAAAATCACTAGCTCATCTTTCCTACCAAAAACTATGAAAGAATGGAATCGGTTACCGAGAGAGGTAATAGCTGCTTTTAGTTCTCGAGTTTTTAAGTGCGCATTGACGAAATATCTTCTATACTGAAATCAGTATATATTAAGCCACATCCTTCCTTCTCGTTTAAACCTTTTCCTTTTTTCTGGCTTGACTTGACTTCGGCTTGAAGAGCATCCATCTAATGCTGCCAGGAAAAAGTTCTTTGATCCACTTAACTAGAAACAGAGTTGATTATGCAGAGAACCGACAATAATAAGTGGTGACAAATAAACAAACACACCACTCGATTTACTTTTTATCAGTACAACTAATTTAGTTCATACAATTGCAGTTGAAGATCGTATGACCGAATTTTTAAAACAAATAGTCTTATATGGATTTCATAAAACTGTTCCATAACTTTTATTCGAAGTACATAAGAAAATGAAATTTCAAAACAAATGATAACTAACAAAAGCTTAAGTTCGTGGTTTTATCGAATCCAAGCGCTCTACAGTGTCACTGTAATCCAGTGTCAGTAACATAAGTAATTGTTACTTGTAGACGTCTTGCTACTGTTGGATGATTACTTGAACAGAATGTCATTCGCCGATAACGTACTTCTGCTGGTAACTGTAATATAAAACCATAATTTTTCCCCGATGTCTTTATATTGTTGACTAAATGTGTTATACCCAAGGTAACGTTGTAATTCCATTGTTGTATAAAGCCGGTATCAAAACTTGATCTGTTGTTGTTGTCGACAGTTGCGCTGCCCATGTGACACTTGTTGTCCAACTGGCTAATAACCGACTTATGTAAACTTCGTTTGTGATATCTGTCGTACATTAAGCCCAATTACCACCGTCTCTTGTTTCATTAACTGATGGGCCATACAATCTGAGTGTAACAGATTTCAGTTGTAAATTGGTGGTTAATATAGCATCCAGTTCACTGAAACTAATTAATGAACGTCGAGATTGTGCTCCACATGCGGCGTCATAATCGGCAGATATATTTAAAAATAAAGATTAGGAATTGGGTACCGTTGACAGTTTGCATGCTGGTTGCATATTCTCAACTTGAGATATACCTATCACAGCATTGAGGTTACGAATAGGTGGTGCTGTTGTTGAAGTAGTTGTCGTTGTAGTGGAGGACGTTGTGGAAGTTGTTGAAGTAGTTGGATTTATGACCTCTTCAACTTGTTGTTCTGATAAAGTCATTGTCTCGTTAACGTCATCTAGTGCTTGTTCAAGTTTAGTGGAAAGACTTTCACTTAGATTACTAAATGTTGTTGCAGCTGTTACTGCTTGAACAACCAGAACGGCAATATTCGATTTTGCAAACTAAATGCGGAAGTCTAATCAGTCAGAAAGCGATTAATTTCTGAAACACTTTCTTTGTGCTAACAAGTCTTAAAGGCAGCATCATAGACAGAACTGGCTCTAGGAATGACACCGGTACCGTTCTAAAACGTTGGTCACCGTTATATCCGCAATTCTGCAGGTCGAAATGAATATAGTTGGATCTACCCATGCAGGCATTTTTTTGACCAAACGCACTGTGAAACGCGTTTTTTTGCACCAGAAATGCGTTTGAACGCGTTTCAGTACACTTGAAACGCGTTTGGATGCGTTAGACAGAA